GGGTGCTTTTTTTAAACTCGAGGGCTGCTGCCTGCCTCTTGAATTTTCAACTACAAGAAAAATCAGGAATCTGAGTCCTTCCTTTGTTCATTGGCATAGAGTTGTTTTGAGGAAAAAATGCATAGGGAAAAGAGAAACAGAAAAGGGGGAAATACATGTGGGGTCCTTGGTGCTCTCTGAGCTTGGTGGTTCATGCACTGATAATGTTACCTAGTTGGGTCATGAAACGTCTCCGAGAAAAACAGCCAAGCTCAGAGAGCCCCAAGGAGCCCTCATTTCAACCTGAACTACAAATATTCTTTTCTGTCGGAAATAAATGTTCTAACTAAATAAACCTCTTGGATTATCTCTCTTTTCATTGTGGCAATACTAATGATATGACTTACATGTATATGATATATAGAGAAGGCTGGTATTACTGAGAGGCTGATTAAAATCAGAAGAGTCCAGGAATACCTTCTCCTGCCTTCCATTGAAGACCTGTATATTTACTTTATTTATTTATTTTTATTTGATTTATATGCCGCCCTTCTCCGGAGACTCAGGGCGGCTTGCAATGCGTTAAGCAATAACCTTCATACTTTTGTATATTTATACAAAGTCAGCTTATTGCCCCCACAAACTGGGTCCTCATTTTACCTACCTTAGAAAGGATGGAAGGCTGAGTCAACCTTGAACCTGGTGAGATTCAAATTTACAGTAATTGCAGAAGCTGATGTTAATAACAGTGCTTTAGTGTGCTGTGCCACCAGGGCTTTGGGGCAGAAGGAGGGCTGAGAAAATATCTACAGACCTCTCACATCCTGGACATAAACTGTTCCTCACAGTTAAAACAATTAATCAGTGGAATGGAAGTTGCCTCCAGAAGCTGTGGGTGCTCCATCACTGGAGGTTTTTAATAAGAGACTGGACAGCCATTTGTCTGAAACGGTATAGGGTTCCGTCTTCAGCGGGGGGTTGGACTAGAGGACCTCCAAGGCCCTCCCAACCCTGTTATTCTGTTATTGCATGCAAAAAACAAGCAGACACAGGGACAGTTTTTTCCCTCCTGGCATCACACTGCTGAACACCTAATCTTCACAGCATTGTTTTATGTCTCAGTATATTTATCCATGTTGTGTGGCTGCAGTATTACTATTAGAACCGTGGTGGGACAGTGGTTAGAATGCAGCATTGCAGGCTAATTCTGTCAACTGACCAGCTTCCATCCTTCTGAAGTTGTTAAATTAAGGACCCAGATGGTTGGGGGCCCATAGGCTGACTCTAAACCAGTTAGAGAGGGCTGTGAAGCACCGCAAAGCGGTATCTAAGTCTACGTGTTATTGCTATTATCCTTCTCATCTTCTCTACCACCTGTCTTATTGGTACCGTTATTGTGGTTATTACTGCTCTGTTGTTTTGCATGTACACTGAGAGCTTCTGCACCAGAGACCAACGCCTTGTGTGTCTAACCAATTTCGTTGTATACATGATGTACAATGACAATAAAGGCTATACTAATCACACTTGGCCAAATAAAGAGTTCTGCTCTGTTCTACATATTCTGTTTTATTATATTCCCTTTTTGTTCTGTTCTGTTCTGTTCTGTTCTGTTCTGTTCTATTCTGTTCTATTCTATTCTATTCTATTCTATTCTATTCTATTATCTATTCTATTCTATTCTATCCTATCCTATCCTATCCTATCCTATCCTATTCTATTCTACTATATACTATATACTCTATTCCCTGATCTGTTCCTTCTTTCCTTTCCTTTTTAACTTTCCTTTCCTTTCCCTTTCCCTTTCCCTTTCCTTTCCTTTCCACTCTTCTCCTCTCCTCTCCTCTCCCCTTCCACCTCACCTCACCACCCTACTCCACATCTCTCCCCTCCCCTCCCCTTCCAACTCACCCCCTCCCCTCCCCTCCCACTCCACTCCATTCATTTCCTCAGATGGGCAGAGTAGCTCACCCGATGTGAGGGGGAAGAGAGGGAAGTGCGGAGTGGTTTTGCTGATGGAAGACCGATGACCTCATGAGCCATTTCATATGTTCAGAACAGGCTGTTCTTGTGGAGAGCTTCCGAGACAGCCTAAAACCTTTGGATGAATGCAGATTCCACCATTTCTCGCTCAATGGTCCTGCAAAAGTCCAAAGTGCTCACCCGTGGAAAGAACAGCCTCTTCCCTCTCTCTTGGGCTCCCTTCCACCTGATTTAAATCCTGCATATCAGCCAAGCCGTTTTGCAGATGCAGCTCATGAAACCTTTGGCCTTTGACCACAGGGAGTCCTCCACTTACAACCGTTCGTTTAGTGACGGTTCAAAAACTTAACGGCACTGGAAAAAGCGACTTGTGACCATTTTTCACACTTATAACATTTGCAGCATCCCCACGGTCAGGTGATCAAAATTCAGACACTTGGCAACTGCCTCGTATTTATGACAGTTGCAGTGTCCCGGGTTCATGTGATCCCTTTTGCGACCTTCTGACCACAAATCCAGTGGGGGAAGCCAGATAACAATCGTGCTACTAACTTAAGAGCCGCAGTGATTCGCTAAACGACAGTGGCAAGGAAGGTTGCGAAACGGGGTAAAACCTATTTAACAACTGTCTCGCTTAGCAGCAGAAACTTGAGGGTGGGTCAATTCTGGGTTGTAAGTAGAGGACCACCTCTAGTTGGGGGGAAAGATGCTTCTAAATTCCTGGGGATTTTTTTTTTGCTCCTCTCGCAGTGTTTACTATGATTGTGGTTTGTGGCAAATTCAGGTTTAGACTGGATCTGGGGTTTTTCTCTACCTATTGAATTCTTTCCAAAGATCTGGGATAGGCCGAGGTGGTTGTTCAGAGGTGTTGAAGGTGTCGCAGGCTGTTGGGCAGATGGAAACACCAACACCTGTGTTCTGACCCAGCTCCCCAAACACGACAAACCCTCTATATTTAAATCAATGATTCCTTTATTATGAGCACCAGCAGCCCCGGCAAAGTTTCTCTCTCACCACAGGCTAACAAATCCAGACAGCCAGGAGATAAATAGTTGACTGCCACACCTATTCATCTCCGCCCCCTGCCTTTTATCCCCAGAGCTAGGGTGGGGCTTCACTAGCAGCGGTGGCTCTTCCATCCCAAAGATCGGCCCATAGATTTCCATTGCTCTCCTCTCCTCTGCCTTCTGTGCATCCGCGCGTCAGGCACTGGACCCAGCTGTTCCTCCTCTTCCTCATCAGCCACCTCCAGACCTGGGGGCTGTTGACTCTCCATCAACACTCAACAAGTTCATGTTATTCACTTAACAACTGTGGCAGGAAAGGTTGTAAAATGGGGGGAAACCTTCTTAACAACTGTCTCGCTCAGCAACCGAAATTTTGAGCTCCATTGTGATTGTAAATCACAGACTACCTGTGAAACAGGAGGAGGGGTGAGAGAGCGAACCTCAGTTTCCTTATTATAAATTCCAAAAGGGGAAACTGAATTTAGTTGCAACCACAATTGTCTGAGATAAGATGACGAGGCATTTTACATAATGTGGGTTGTGACAATTTTTTTTACGGGATGTTTGCCTGTAAGCGCAGTTTGACAATTTTTGATGTAGCAGGAAACCTTCTTGCAAATCTTTTCCTGCTTTGAGAAAAAGGTTGTGTAGTGATAATTGTGCTTTCTTTTTCTTGCTCTCCTGCTCTAGAATTGTAACAAGAGGAAATTTCCATTGTGTGAAGAATTTGCACAGCTACAAACCACCTTGAATTTCTGGGAAAGTGAATCAATTTGACGACCTTTTCAAGAAAATGCAAAATCTGTGCCAGGTAATAAATGTAAAAATAATATTTCCAATGTAGAGCGAATGAGCAGATGTTTAGGATAATGTTAAGTCTGGGGTACCATTCGCGGTTGTAGCTAAATTGAGCAGGCATCTTCAGTGGAAATTTATCTTGAAATCGTGGGAGTGACGGCAACATGCAGGGTTGTAGGAATAGAAGAAAATGTTTATAGTTCAGGGTTGAGCTGTGAGGTCCTTGGTGCTCTCTGAGCTGGGTGTTTTTTTTGCAGACATTTCATTACTTCATTAGATACTGAATGCAAATAGCAAACTAGATCCCAAACAAGGAATTATTAACTCAGACAAACAAAGGAACCACCAAGAAAACTCCCACAAACACTGGTATTAGGGGCTGCCACAGAGAGGAAGGGGTCAACCTGTTGTCCAAAGCCAGACAAGGAACGATGGATGGAAACTGATCAAGGAGAGATTCAACCTAGAAATAAGGAGAAATTTTCTGACAGTGAGAACAATCAACCCATGGAACAGAAGTTGCCTTCGGAAGTTGAGGGAGCTTCATCACCAGAAGCTTTCAAGAAGAGACTGGACTGCCATCTGTCAGAAATGGTGTAGGGTCTCCTGCTTTCCGGGGTGGGGGTTGGACTAGATGACCTACAAGGTCCCTTCCAACTCTATTAATGTGACTACTAAAGAGACTGGACAGCCACCTGTCTGAGATAGTATAGTGTTGCCTGCTTGAGTAACAGGTTGGACTAGAAGACCTCCAAAGTTCCTTCCAACTCTGTTGTTCTATGATAGCTGAAGTCACTTCTATAAAAACCTTACTCCCTTCTAACACTGATGAGATTACCTAGTAGGGTAATGAAACATCTGCAAGAATGCATCTGCATCTCCCCCTCCCGGTCCTCCTCTTCCTCCTCCTCCTCCTCTCTTGATTAAAGAACATTGAGCAGGGGAATTCTGGGAGTTGAAGTCCATAGATCTTAAAGTTATCGAAGTCAATAACCGTCTTGCTTAGCCATGGGAATTTCGGGCTCCGTTGTGGTCGTAAGTCGAGGACTAGCTGTGTCTGGGAATCTCTGCTAACCTGTTTTCCTTTCTCCGTCCCCCCCCCCCCCCCGGTCTCTAGTGGGCGATTTGGAGGGTCTTGCTCTGGAGTACCCTGACCCATGCTTCCCGGCCCACCTTCGAATGGAAAGACCCCCACACCCAGAGAAGCTGTTGTGTGAGAAGTGCCCCCGGGGAAGAGCATGGCCAAACCTTGCACCCTGGACAAACGCACTGAGTGCAAGCCGTGTGCAACTGAGCACTACACCCAGTATTGGAACTACCTGGACAGGTGCTTGTACTGCAGCGTCCGCTGTAGCACCCTGGAGGTGGAGGTGGTGCCGTGCAACAGGACACACAACAGGGTGTGTGAGTGCAAGCCGGGCTACCACGCCGAGTCGCTCTTTTGCATCAAGCACTCCAAGTGCCCGCCAGGAAGCGGAGTGGTTGAGCCCGGTACGTACCGGGGGGGAAGACAGACAGCAACCTGTTCCTTTGGGGGTGCAGGGTGGGGGATGAACTGGAGCAGGCTGGCATCTCTTGGGAGTAGTTTGGAGGGGTGGGAAGGATCCTAAAGAGGATCTGAAGGATCGACCCTTCAGTTTGATGTTTCTCAAGCTCAGCAATTTTGAGATGTATGGGTTCTCCCTCCTTCCTTCCCACCTTCCTTCTTTCTTTCTTTCTTTCTTTCTTTCTTTCTTTCTTTCTTTCTTTCTTTCTTTTTTCTTTCTTTCTTTCTTTCTTTCTTTCTTTCTTTCTTTCTTCCCTCCCTCCCTCTCTTTCTTCCTCATCAACCTTCCTCCTCTCCTCTCCTCTCCTCTCCTCTCCTCTCCACTACTCTCCTCTCCTCCTTCCGTTTTCTCTTCTCCTCTCCATTCCACTCCTTTCCTCTCCTCTCCACTCTCCTCTTTCCTTCCTCTCCTCTCCTCTCCTCTCCACTACTCTCCTCTCCTCCTTCCGTTTTCTCTCCTCTCCTCTCCATTCCACTCCTCTCCACTACTCTCCACTCTCCTCTTTCCTCTCCTCTCCTCTCCTCTCCTCTCCACTCATCTCCTTTCCTTACCTCTCCTTTCCTTACTCCTCTCCTCTTTCTTCTCCTCTCCTCTTTCCCTTTTCTTTCCTCTCCTCTCCACTCCTCTCCTCTTCATTCCTTTCCTCTTTCCTCTTTTCTCTCTTCTCCTCTTTCCCTTTTCTCTCCTCTCCTCTTTCCTCTCCCCTCCTCTCCTCCTTCCCTTTTCTCTCCTCTCCACTCCACTCATCTTTCTCCTCTCCTCTCCTTTCCACTCCTTTCCTCTTTTCTCTCCTCTCCTCTTTCCTCTCCCCTCCTTTCCTCCTGCCCTTTTCTCTCCTCTCCTCTTCTTTCCACTCCACTCCTCTCCTCTTCCCTCTCGCCTCCTCTCCTACTTCCCTTTTCTCTCCTTGTCCCTTCCCTTCTTGTCCCTTCCTTTCCTTCCCCTTCTCCCCCCTTTTTAAGGTTTTAGTTTACTATGTTGACATGCATTGATAAAGTCCTCCCCCTCCCGCAAGACAGCAGCCATGGAACGTGGTTGGAGAGAAAGCTAGACCTTTTCTTCTGCTCCCGTTTTTCCAGGCAACCCCCGAGAAGATACCCAGTGCAGTGTCTGCCCAGAGGGGAGCTTTTCCAGCAACCATTCCAGCAAGGATCCCTGCCAGACCCACCAGAACTGCTCCGCGCAAGGCCTTCGGGTCAACGTGCCTGGCACCCTTTTCCACGATGCCTATTGCACCTCCTGCAGGGCTGACAAAGGCTCAGAGGAGGGCTCAGGTAAGACACCCCCCCCCCACCTGAGTCTTACAGGTAGTCCTCAACTTAGAAACACAACTGGGAGCAGAGTTTCCATTGCTAAGCAGGCAGTTCTTAAGTGAGACATGCCCTATACTACAACCCTTTTTTGCCATGGTGGTTAAGCCCATCATTGCAGTTGTTAAGTGAATCACATGGTCATTAAGCAAATCTTTGAGGACCCAGTTTGTGGGGGCAATAAGCTGACTTTGTATAAATATACAAAAGTATGAAGGCTATTGCTTAGCGCATTGTAAGCTGCCCTGAGTCTCCGGAGAAGGGCGGCATATAAATCAAATTAATCCCCCCCCCCATCGACTTTGCTTGTCAGAAGCTGGCAGGTAAGGTCTCAAATGGAAGGCGAAAAGAATAGGGATGGATCTCACTTCCAGTGGCGAGATGTTCCAGAGGCCAGGGTCCATAGCAGAAAAGGCTCTTCTCCTGAACCCAGCTTGCTGAAATTCCTTGGCTGATCAAGTCCAGAGCGTGATGACATGATACCAATCTTCCAATATTTGCAAGGCTGCCCCAAAGAAGAGGGAGTCAAGCTATTCTCCAAAGCACCTGAAGGCAGGACAAGAAGCAATGGGTGGAAACTAAGCAAGGAGAGAAGCAACCTGGAACTAAGGAGAAATTTCCTGACAGTTAGTGGAACAACTTGCCTCTAGAAAGTGTGGTTGCTCCATCACTGGGGCTTTTCAAGAAGAGGCTGGAACAACTCTCTGGAGTTGTTCTGACCCAACTCCCCAAATACAACAAAGTTCCTCTGAAGTGAACTCAAAGATTCCTTTATTAGGAGCGCCAGCAGCCCTGGCAGAAAGTTTCTCTGTCACCATAGGCTAACAACTCTGTCCAGCAGGGAGATGAATAGTTGTCTGCCACACCTATTCATTTCCGCTCCCTGCCTTTTATCCCCAGAGCTAGGGTGGGGCTTCGCCAGCAGACCGGCCCTTAGATTTCCACTGCTCTCCTCTCCTCTGCCTTCTGTGCATCCGCGTGTCAGGCACTGGACCCAGCTGTTCCTCCTCTTCCTCATCACCTCCAGACCTGGGGGCTGTTGACTCTCCATCTGAGGGCTGACGGACGGCCCAGGCTCCACCTCTTTCTCTCTCTCTGCCAGCTTCATTCCCTCTTCCCTCTCGGAGCTCTCAGGATGCCTTGATGCTGACTCTGACTCCCACGCCTCCTCCTCCTCCTCCTCCTCCTCTGAATCGGCTGTTGGAGAGGCCGGTGGCTGGCAGGCCACAACAGGAGTGATATAGACTCTGCTGCCTTGAGCAGGGGGTTAGACTAGAAGGCCTCCAAGGTCCCTTCCAGTCCTGTGACTCTACGCCCCTTCTGCTACAGCAATGGAACTGGGGCAGGCCAGTTCCATTGGGGTGAGACACTTCCTCAGATCATCTGGTCCTGATCCAGAGATTCTGGTCATAAGCCCTACAGCGGGACAGTGCAGGAGATGGTATTTATTTACTTATGATTTATTTGCATCCCTCCTTTCTTAGTTTTACAAATAACTCGAGGCAGTGAACATATCCAATACATCTTCCTCCTCCTATTTTCCCCACAACAACCCTGTGAGATGAGTTGTGCTGAGAGAGTGGGACTGGCTCTAAATCACCCAGCCAGCTTTCATGCCTCAGGAGAGACTAGAACTCACTTCTCTCCTGGTGATTTGCCCAAAGTCACCTAACCAGCTTTCATGCCTAAGGCTGGACTAGAAGTCACCGTCTCCTGATGATCGGCCCAAAGTCACCCAACCGGCTTTCATGCCTAAGGCGGACTAGAACTCACCATCTCCTGGTGATTTGCCCAAAGTCACCTAACCAGCTTTCATGCCTAAAACTGGACTAGAACTCACTGTCTCCTGATGATCGGCCCAAAATTACCCAACTGGCTTTCATGCCTAAGGCAGGACTAGAACTCACCGTCTCCTGCTTTCATAAGTGGTGCCTTAACCATTAGACCAAACTGACTCTCCCAGCACCTCTTATTCGATGTGTGTTTCTCACCTGTTCTTTCTCTTCTAGGTACGGGAGATTGTCTCGAGGCAGCCCTTGACTTTGTACCCTTCCAACTGAAGTCACCACGAAGGCTCCGGCGTCTGTATCGTAAGCTCACTCAAACTGCTCCTGGGACGGAGAAGAAGAAGCCCATCGAAGAGCTGCAGGTGGACCTTCATAGCTACCTGCTCCAGCTCAAGAACCTGCATGGGAAGGAGGAAGCGTGGGATAAGGTCCAGGTAGCCCTGACGAAGCTGAAGTTGGAACGCATTCTGCAGAACGTCCTGAGGAGGTTCACTGTGGGTTGATGAGGCCACTCGATACGGGGGTTTATTGTATCATAGGTATAAAATGGTTGGTCATGGATTTGTGGACTTGGATCGTTGAGTTAAGGTATTTATATCAGTCTCCCCATCCTCGATTTGGCATTTGATTGAAAAATTTGATTGATTGGCATTTCATTTGAAGAAAAAGGGCTGCGGAAAGGAAGGGTGGCCGGTTCATTCGGCTTCTCTAACGGAGTCTACACAACCCTGCGCAGACCCCGCTGGGGAAGCAGAATAGACCCCCTCCATCCTTGGACCACGCAACTGCGTCCCAGAAGGAGCTGCCATTTTGGAGGGGCACAATTCTTAGCAGCTGCTCAGAAAGTGGCGTTCACTTTTGGGACACAACCAGGCGGTCTACGGATGCTGAGTGGCCTTCCCTGCTTCCCCAACACGAGATCTGGAGATCTTCAAAAGATATGACCTTGATGGGGTGACGGGGTGGGGAGAGTGGGTAGGGCCCGCTGGGATGGGAAACAGGTCCAAGGTCTGCAAGGACCCAGCGGGACAGGGTGGGTGGGAGATAGGGAGGGGGGAATGGGTGCTGCCGCATCCCTGGGATCGGTCGTAACGGCGAACAATCCCAAGCCTGCTGTAACTTTGAAACATGGTCATCAATAGCTTTTTTTTGTGCGTTTGGGGGATATCTATCCTAACTTCGAATGGTCACTAAGTGACCCGTCATAAGTGGAGAACTACCTCTCTGCCAATATGTGTTTTTTGGGGAAATGCTGCAAATGTTTTGACCCTGTAGATCAGGGGTGTCAAACTGCCAGGCCGCAGGCCGGATGCGTCACAGGCAGGCCACGCCCACCCCAGCTCTGCGAAGGGGGAAAACGTCGCGATACGTCACGTGACGGCAACGTGACGCCGCGAGTTTGACACCCGTGCTGTAGATCAGTGGCCCCCAACCTTTTTGGGCACCAGGGACCAGTTCCGTGATTTGTCCACGGACCGGAGGGGGCGTGGTTTCATGTGCTGCCTGCATCCTGTGGATGAGACTTTGCTTTTTTGGCCTAGACCGGTTTCTGCCATGCCGCATACCGGTAACCGGTCCCTGGATCAAGAGTTGGGGACCCCTCTATGATCAGGATGGAGGTTGTCAAAGGTTGGGGAAGAACCCAGATCCTGTTGGGTCAACATGCTAACCTGACCCTCCTTTCCGAGGTCATGATTTTAGCCCTATATCTAGGGATTAGATGGAGTGATTGTTTGTGTTTTTAGGAAATGAAGTATTTTTCATTGGTTTGCTTCTAGGACAGGGGTTCCCAACCGGGGAGTGCGAGACCATATTCCAGGGGGTGCAAAAACCTGGGTTCAGAAGTTTCAAACTTGTAGTGTATATACATAATTATATGCATATAATTATTTACTTTTGTAAGGGGTGCGAGAATGTATCAGAAGTGTTCTAGGGGCACGGGGTACAGAAAAGGTTGGGAACCCCTGTTCTAGGTTTGTTTTTCCAGAATGTGAATTTCTCAGGAGTGGCCAGTCCTCATAGGTGATCTCTGTGAGAGCCAAGAACAGGTAGTCCTCGAGTTACGACTATTTGCTTAGCAACCGGGGGGGCAGACAATTGGTATTTGTGATCTTCCCATAACGTCTGTGTGATTCGCTTAACAACCGCACCCAAAAAGTTTGTAAAATTGGGTGCGGCTCACTTAATGACCCCATAGCTTACTGACAGATGTTGTGATCCCAGTTTGGTCGTAAATTGAGGACTTCCTGTACGGCACCCAGCTCTGAGATGATGATCCTTTCCAAGGGTAGCAGTCACAGGCAGCTAAACAGAGCCGTCACTGTGCGTCTGCGTTTCTGTATTGTACATTCTTCATTGTGTACATGTCTTCATGATTACATTTCTTAGTCTAATCATGGTCTGTTACATTTCAAGCAAAGTGTTGTGGCCGGTCAGCGGCCTGTGCAGATTGTAGCTGATTCTGACAGCGAGGAGGCTGGTGTGGTGCTGCACCAACAGCCTGTGCAGCTGGCACTCGAGTCAGACAATGAGGAGGCTGGAGAAGATGTGCCAGAGGCGGGGATTCAGCCAGGGCCTTCAGAACCTCCAGAAGCTCCCTTAAGTGAAGAGGACGAAGAGGAGAAGGAGCCTCTTCTCAATGCACGGGCGTGCAGAGCTGCCAAAAGGCAGGAGTGGCTCCTCAGGAGGAGCGCTTCTCGAGAGTAAGGCTTGGGGCTAATTGGCCACTCCCTTAGCCTATTTAAGGAGGAACGCCGACTGAAGCAATTTGTAGGGAACAACTTTAGTTCACTCTACTTCCCGTCTGGAGTCTCTGCACATTACTTCTCGGGTTTCTGCCAACCTTTGTAAGATTGTGATTACTTTATCTTTGGTTTCTTGTAGGCTGTTCAGAAAGTTTATTAACAGCCTTTGTTTTGAAAAAGACTGAGTTATTTTAGCAAATTAAGTTTTGTACAAACTTTGTGTGTGGCTGTGTTCTTTGGGATCCGTAGCTGGGGCAGAACACAAAGATCGTGCCTCTACTTGAACTACGGTATGTGCCTCCCCACTTTCACACGCAGGAGCCTCGGAGAAGTTATTCTGCTCAACTGCTTTTCCACATTCAGGGAAAGATGACGACAGTTGTGTAGGAAACCAAGGGAGGGGATTGGATGGAGCAAGTGGTTGCTGAGCCACGTTTAAGGTGGTTGGTGGTTTCCAGTTTATGCCGAAGCTCCACTCCCAATGGCTGAAGTCCAGAGCAAGTGATTTGGGGTAAAGTATTGGCAGAAAGTATTTGGGGAATATGGTGTCTGATTTACTCGAGTAAAGTTTCTCAATCTTTAGACGAGAGCCTGCGTAGCTCATTTGTTGAATTGTGGGATCCTTGTGCTCCGGATTTTTCGTCGGGCCCTGAAAACCCATTTATTTCAACTAGCTGGGCTGGCTTGAGTCAAATTTTAAACTGATTTTAAATTGGAATTGTTTTAATCACGGCCAAAAGATTTAATTATTTTAATCAGTTTTTAGATTTTGTATGTTTTGTATGTATGTCTTGTTTTTATTTTCGGCTGTTCACCGCCCTGAGTCCTATATTGGAGAAGGGCGGTATAGAAATTTAAACAAATAAATAAATAAATAAATTTCTGAACTGGGTGGTTTTATTAAGACGCTTCATGAACCAACTAGGTAACATCCCCTGATCTTAGGGCCGGGATGGCGAACCTATGGCACGCGGGGCCAGAGGTGGCACGCAGTGCCCTCTCTGTGGGCACATGTGCCGTCGCCAACTGCTCTTCCCAGTTCCGTCATGCGCATGCGTGCCGGACAGCTGGTCTTCACGCAAAGACCAGCGGGCTGGCATGCATGTGTACGTCGGAACCGGGAAGAGAGCAGCTGGCCAGTGCGCATGTGCGCGACGGAACCTGGAAGAGCAGCTGGCCGCTGCATGCATGCACACCAGCCAGCTGCTCCCTTCTGGGTTCCGGTGCTCAGGCACATGCTCCAGATTCAGCACTCGGTGTCGAAAAGGTTAACCATCACCGTCTTGGGGGCTCCATCACACTTCTTTGGAGGGTCCCAGCAGCACTCAACAAATTCAGGGGGGAAGAATCAACGGGGTGGACTTGAGGGAAGATGGGGTGAGGTGGAGGAGAACGGATGGGCCTTCTTGGCACCTCATGGGGTTGCTGGGTCTCACCAAAAGCTCCTTATCCTTGGTTATTCGTGAAGGGCCACTCTTGTTCTCCCTACGTTTCATTTTCATTTTTCATTTTATTAAATTTGTATACCGCCCTACTCCCGAAGGACTCAGGGCGGTGAACAGCCATAAAATAAAACAGATAGATACAAAATTTAAAATAGAGATAAAACTAATTAAGTAAATTTGGCTGAACCAATTTTAAAACCCCAATAAATTAAAACCAAATTTAAAATTTCCATTTAAAAAGAGGAAAAATTTAGGTCAGGCCGGCTTGATGAAATAGGAACGTCTTAAGCGCGCGACGGAAGGTGCGTAGATCTGGGATCCTCCGTATCTCCGGGGGGAGCTCGTTCCAGATCGTAGGTGCCCCCACAGAGAAGGCTCTCCCCCTGGGGGCCGCCAGTCGACATTGTTTGGCCGACGGCACCCGGAGGAGCCCCTCTCTATGGGAGCGTACTGGTCGTTGACTGCAAGAAAATGTCTTCCTGCACTGAAAGTTGTTCCTTCTGCCTAATGTGTGTTTTGTTTGTAAAATTATTTAGGACAGGTAGTCCTCGACTTACAACCGTTCATTTAGTGACTGTTCCAAGTGACAACGGCACTTGGGGAGATGCTCATTTTAACAACTGTCTCATTTAGCAACAGAAATTTTGGGCTCAACTTTGGTCAAGGGCTACCTTACCTTTGTTTTGAGTGACTTTGTAAATTCACTTTGTTACCAGTTGTACTCACAGCCTCAAAGACCCATGTAGATCTACAAAGAGTAGATTTTAGAACATAGATTTTATTTTTCTTAGATTTATATTTTTTTAAATCTTTATACATTTAAGGAGACGTCACTGAAATGTTAATAAATACACTGCCTCCAGCTGTTTAAATCTTTTCTTGTTGTAAAGCGTCTTAGCTATTGCTTGTCCTAATTCATCCTTCTGCCCCCCCAAATAACCCCTTAAAATGGCTGGGGAATTCTGGGAGTTGAAGTCCGAACATCTTACCTTTGCCTCTTTATTCCAGACCATTCTATCTGGGGTCAAAATAGCCACTGCCAAGAATCCTTCTCTTTCTTTGCCTGCATTTACCAAAATGTTCTGAACGACACCATATTGAGAAGATTTATTCTCATGAATATTCCTTCTTCATAATTCTTATGAAAAATATATTGCTTCCTTCCTGAGCTACTTTTGTTCCCGTTAATATTTTATCGTTTCAATATTTGATGTTTTCTATTGTTATTATTATTGTGGTGTGAGCCGCCTAGTCTCTCTCGATGGACGGCCTATAAATTGAATAAATAAAGAAAACTCCCTCACCTCGTTGTCGATAAGAATACAGTGGCGCCATGAGGACTACCCTGTTTCCCCAAAAATAAGACCCTGTCTTATATTTTTTTGAACCCCAAAATAAG